CGTCATCATCACCGTCAATGTCATCAGCACAATCAGCATCAGCATCATCGTCATCCTCGTCATTAACATCATCATCACCAGCACCATCATTAACATCATCATCATCGTTATCATCCGACGCTTTTTCCTCCCCCAATCAACTCGTCGTCTTGTTCCTCGTCCTTCTACTTCTCCGCCTCCTCCTCCTCCTCCTCCTTCTCGTCATCCTCCTCCTCATCTTGCTACTCCTCCTCCTCATTCTCCTCCTCCTCCTCAGCCTCATCCTCCCCATGATCATCAGAATCTACACGTCATCATCAGCGTCATCCTCCTCCTCTTCCTCCTTCTCTTTCTCCTCCTCCTCCTCAGTCGTCATCATCATCATCATCATCAGCAGCAGCATCATCATATAATCGTCATCGTCATCAGCATCGTCATCGTCAGCATCATCATCATCAGCATCATCATCAGCAGCAGCATCAGCATCATCATCATCATCGTGATTACCAGCATCATCATGGTCATCATTATCATCAGCAGAATCATCCATCAGCATCATCATCGTCATCATCATATCATCATCAGAATCATCGTCATCATCATCACCATCATCCTCATCATCGTCAGCATTAGCAACATCATCATCATTATCATCATCAGCATCAGCATCAGCATCAGCACCACAAATGATCATCATCCTCATCAGCATCATCATCGTCATCAGCATCGTCATCATCATCAGCAGCAGCATCAACATCCGACGCCGCCACCGATGCCTCTGCCTCCCACATCCACCTCGTCGTATTGTTCCTCGTCCTTCTCCTTCTCCGCCTCCGCCCTCTCCTCCTCCAACTCGTCTTCCTCCTCATCCTCCTACTCCTCCTCATCATCAGAATCTTCACATCGCCATCAACATCATCCTCCTCCTCATCCTCCTCATCATCATCATCGTCATCGTCATCGTCGTCATCATCATCATCACCATCATCTGCCTCCTCTTCCACATCCCCCTCCTCCGCCTCTTCCTCATCCTCCTCATCCTACTCCTCCTCATCATCCTCCGCGTCCGCCTCTTTCTCCGCATACGACGCACAGGCCCCCCCTCGGGGAGAGGCCGGGCCTCGGCCGACGCCTCAGCCTTCGCTGGCTCGGTCGTGGCCTTCGCCTTCGCCGTCGACGGCTTCAGCTCCGCTGCCGACTCGACGCCGGCCTGCCCTCGTCACGGGGAGGTATCGTCCTATGTCCTCCTTCCGCCGTCTTGTGTCCTTTTTCGTCCCCGCCCTCCTCTTCCTCCAACCTCATCCCTCCTCCTGCCCTCTCTGCTCCTCCTTCCTCCCCCCTCACTCCTTCCTCCTCCCTCCTCCCACCTCCATTCCTGTTCCTTGTAGATAACTCCTCCCTGTCGCACCCCGAGGCCTGTCGAAAGGGCGGGCCGGGCGTTTCACCTAAGACTTCCTCACCACTTGTGACCCTCATGCTTAGATGCATACGAACAGACAATAGCAGAATACGAAAATTACCCCAGTGCGACCCTACCTAGAAGTTGGAGCCCCTAGGAAAGCAGCATTAGTTGCGATGCTATGCTATGCTATGATATGATATGCCATGCTATGCTGCGCTATGCTATGCTATGCTATGCTATGCTATGATATGCTATGCTGCGCTATCCTATGCTCTCTGCTATGCTATGTCATGCTATGCTATGCTAAGATATGCTATGTCATGCTGCGCTGTGCTATGCTAAGCTATGATGTGTTATGATATGCTATGCTAAGCTGCGCTGTGTGATGCTATGCTATACTGTGCTGTGCTGCGCTATGCTGTGAAATGTTATGCTATGCTGCGCTACGCTATGCTATGCTGGGCTATGCTATGATATGCTGTGCTGCGCTATGCTATGCTACGCTATGCTATGCTATGCTGTGCTCTGCTATGCTAAAGCTCAGCGAAGCTAAGATGAAGGTAATCTAAGTTAAGATAAACCTGAGCTAAGATGAAGCGAAGATAAGCTAAGACGAAATAAGCTAATCTAAGATGAGATAAGCAACGCTAAGCTAAGGGGACGTAACTGGGGGAACCGCGGGGCGGATACTGGGGGAACCGCCCAGGGCGGGTAGCACTGCCCGGCCCTTTAAGCCAAGAGAGTAAGAACCCTCCTAGGCAGAGCCTCGGTAAGGTAACAATTACCCCAGTGCGACCCTACCTAGAAGTTGGAGCCCCTAGGAAAGCAGCATTAGTTGCTATGCTACGCTATGCTATGCTGTGCTGTGCTATGCTATGCTATGCCATGCTATGCTACGCTATGCTATGCTATGCTATGCTATGATATGCTATGCTGCGCTATGCTATGCTATGCTATGCTATGATATGTCATGCTGCGCTGTGCTATGCTAAGCTATGCTATGATATGTTATGCTAAGCTACGCTATGCTATGATATGCTGTGCTGTGCTGCGCTGTGCTATGATATGCTATGCTATGCTGCGCTACGCTATGCTATGTTGGGCTATGCTATGATATGCTGTGCTGCGCTATGCTATGCTACGCTATGCTATGCTATGCTGTACTCTGCTATGCTAAAGCTCAGCGAAGCGTATGAGGCTAAGCTAAGATAAACCTGAGCTAAGATGAAGCTAAGCTAAGCTAAGATGAAATAAGCTAAGCTAAGATGAGATGAGCAACGCTAAGCTAATTGGACGTAACTGGGGGAACCGCGGGGCGGATACTGGGGGAACCGCCCGGGGCGGGTAGCACTGCCCAGCCCTTTAAGCCAAGAGAGTAAGAACCCTTCTAGGCAGAGCCTAGATAGGGAACAACAACAACAACAACAACAACTACAACAACAACGACAACAACAACGACAACGACAACAACAACGCAAGAGCTTCACGCATTGAGGGCGGGTCGTTTTCATAATGTGGCTCTCGCCTGAGCGCCGAGCACATTCGTCTCCAAAATATCACCGGGCTTCACGGATTGAGGGCGGCGCGTTGTCAAAGTGTGGCTGTCGCCTAAGCGCCGCGAACACCCGAAGGCCATTTATATATATATATGTGTATGTACACACATACATATAAGTATAAATAGTGTAATACATAAATACAAAAAAACAAGCGTACATAAATCGAAAAGTAATCATTGCATAAATAACTGAATGCACGTGTGCATTTACAGAACCACATACATGAATATATATATATATATATATGTACGTACATATATATATATGTATATATATATACATATATATATATATGTATACACATGTACATATGCCCATACGTGTACATACACACACATATATATGTATATGCGTATACGTATACACAGACCTAAACATGTACATATGCATACACATATACATGTGTGTATACGTTTACATGTATGTACATATGTATGTTTATATGCATAAGCATATGCATATGTATATGCACATATGCACATACACATATAGACAGCTTCCCACCACTCTATTTCTATTACCCAGGACCCCCGGGACCCTCTGGACCCCTCGGATCCGTGGCCCCAGGGACCCCCCCTGAACGCCCCTGCAGGAAGCCCCCCAGGCGTTTCAGAGCTCCTGAAGCCCCTGCTGGGCCTGGGCAACGGGCCCAGATCGGTCAGGAGGGCGGCCCAGCGCCCCCCCGAGTGCCCCAAGAGGCCCCAGACACCCACCAGACGCCCGAAGACGAACCAAAGAAGACCCACAAGAGGCTTCCAAAACGCGGAACAAAACATTGATACTCCAAGGTTTTTGCATGATTTGGGGAATGTCATGTTCTTCTGTCTTCTGGGCGTCCGAGACCGCCTGGGAGGCTCGAAAATCGCCCCAAAACCATCCGAAAGGGCTTCCAGGCAGTACAAGAGAGCTCCAAGACGCACACATGTTCGTTCATGCTATGCTTATACTCATGAGAATGACCCCCGACAACAAAAAAAACTGTTCTTCGAGCGTCTGGATGCACGGGCCAGGGGGGTAGACGTCGAACCCCAAACCTGTCCCGCGGCGGGCCCTAACCAGGACCTCCAGCCGCGGCGACGAGAAGGCCCGCCAGGGCGGCCCGAAGAGGGCGAGGGCAGGGCGAACAACCACAAACGAATCCTCGAAACTCGCTTTAAGCGCGAACCTACCGCATGTTTGGATGATGACGATTGACTCGCTGAGCGATTGCCGCACCTCCCTCGCTCGATCCTCTCTCTCTTCTCTTCTGATTCCTGCCTTTGGCAGAACTCCTGGTCACCTCTGTGTCTCGGCAATACTCGTAGTCTCCTCGGACTTTGCCGCTGGGATCGCTCCCTTCTGCAATCTGCGGAGGGCCCACGCACCATGCACTGCACTGCACACCCCTCTCTGGGCACAGAGAAATCACACCTGAGACTTTCTCGCTCGATCCTCGGCGCCCAGACGGAATGTCCCACGCGCGCGCCCCTCCTGCAGGGCGGCGACGCGGGACGCGCCCAGCAGCAGGAGGCAGGCGAACACCCGCATCGTGGCGGCTTCGGGGCGCCGGACGAAGCCGCCGACGCGCGTGCGCGGTGGCGGGGCGCGTGAGCGCCAGGAGGTGGAGGACTATCGGGACATCGGGGTTGTCTGGATGAGTCCGCGGGGATGCGGGAGGGTCTCCCTGCCTCGGGATGCGGCCCAGCAGCTGCGCCGCGCCGAGAGCGTTCCGGGGCGTGCCCGCAGCGCCCCGGACGGCCGCCGAAGACCCGAGCTGCGGCCGAGAAGCCACACGTTCGGAGGAGGGCCAGTGTGGTGAGTCAGTCAGGATTCTGGGTGACCGCACGGTCTTGGAACTTGAGCCGTCTTCCGAGAACGTCTCGGAGGACTGGGGGCCTCCAAGGCCCCAAAGCCGTACGGTGACAGCACGTGCGGCGAGGTCCTTTGGGAGACCGAGGTCACCGCACGACCCCCAAGGTCAGTATGAAGGGACCGGGTTACTCGGGGGGGACGAAGGGTAGGGTAGAGAATCAGCTCACGTAGCTGCTTCTGTTCCCCAAATGTTTCGTGGGGTTCTGGTTCTCTTCCCTGCCGTGTTGCAACCGCGCTTCTTCTCCTCCTCTTCCTCCTCCTTTTCCTCCTCCTCCTCTTCCTCACCCTTTTGCTTCTCCGTCTCGCTCGCACTTCCAAAACCGCAGTGGCACACGTGGCACTTCTTCGACGCCACAGGGGGTGCGCTGGGGGGGGTGTCCCGGTCCGTCTCAGGGTCGCAAGGCGTCGCAGGCGTGGCACTTTCTCGACACCATCGAAGGCGCGCAGGGGGTGGTCCCTCACCGTGGTCTCTATCCGTCTACGGGTCGCAAGGCGTGGCAAGCCTGGTGCTTTCTCGACACCATAGTGGGTGCGCAAGGGGGTGGTCCCTCACCGCGGCCCCTATCCGTCACAGGGTCGCGGGGCATGGCAGGCGTGGCACTGTCTCGACACCAAAAGGGGTGCGCAGGGGGTGGTCCCTCACCGCGGTCTCTATATCCGTGTCAGGGTCGCGGGGTGTGGCAGGCGTGGCACTTTCTCGGCACCACAGGGGGTGCGCAGGGGGTGGTCCCTCACCGTGGTCTGTATCCGTCCCAGGTTCGCGGGGCGTGGCAGGCGAAGCACTTTCTCGACACCATAAGGGAGCGCAGGGGGTGGTCCCTCACCGCGGTCCCTATCCGTCTCAGGGTCGCAAACCGTGGCAGGCGTGGCACTTTCCCCACACCATAGAAAGTACGCAAGGGGGTGGTCCCTCACCGCGGTCCCTATCCGTCTCAGGAGCGCAAGGCGTGGCAGGCGTGGCACTTTCACAACACCATAGAGAATGCGCAGAAGGTGGTCCCTCACAGCGGTCTCTATCCGTCTCAAGGTCGCAAGGCGTGGCAGCCGTGGCACTTTCACAACATCAGAGAGGGAGCGCAACGCCAGAGAGGGAGCGCAAGGGGTGGTCCCTCACCGTGGTCTCTATCCGTCTCAGGGTCGCAAGGCGTGGCAGGCGTGGCATGTTCTCAATACCATAGGGGGTGCGCAAGGGGGTGGTCCCTCACCGCGGGGTCGCGGGGCGTGGCAGGCGTGGTGGCACTGTGTCGACACCAGCGGGGGTGCGCACGGGGGGGTCCCTCACCGCGGTCTCTATCTGTCCCAGGGTCGCGGGGTGTGGCAGGCGTGGCACTGTCTCGACACCAGCGGGGGTGCGCAGGGGGTGGACCCTCACCGCGGTCTCTATCCGTCTCAGGGTCGCGGAGCGTGGCAGGCGTGGCACTTTCTCGGCACCAGAGGGGGTGCGCAGGGGGTGGTCCCTCACCGCGGCCCCTACCCGTCCCAGGGCCGCGTGGCATGGCAGGCGTGGAGCTTTCTCGACATCAGAGGGGGTGCGCAGAGGGTGGTCCCTCACCGCGGTCCTTATCCGTCCCAGGGTCGCGGGGCGTGGCAAGCGTGGCACTTTCTCGGCGCCAGAGGGGGTGCGCAGGGGGTGGCCCCTCACTGCGGCCCCTACCCGTCCCAGGGTCGCGTGGCGTGGCTGGCGTGGCACTTTCTCGGCACCAGGGGGGGTGCGCAGGGAGATAAGGTGTTACTGCGGCCCGTTGGTTGTTACTGCGGCCCGGTGGGTGTTAGTATGGCCAGGGGTCCTCCGGAGTGTATTAATTATCGAATACGGTGAAGGGGGGGGAGGAGGTCCAAAAAGGCGCTCCCCCGCCCCCCACCTTCCCCCCTTTCTCCTGAGAGCCTCTCGGAAGAGCCTCTGGTGCTCTTCGAAGACCTTCTTGCAGCCGCCTAAGAGCCTCTTGGGCTATCCGAAGAGCCTCTTGGGCTCTCAAAACTATTTCTACTACTACTACTACTACTACTACTACTACTACTACTACTACTACTACTACTACTACTACTACTACTACTTCTGACTACTACTACTACTACTACTACTACTACTACTACTACTACTACTACTACTACTACTACTACTACTACTACTACTACTACTACTACTACTACTACTAGCAGTAGTACTATTACGACGACTACTACTA